TAAAATTTAAACGTTTTCTTAATTTGTGTGAGAAAACATTAAACGATAACTAAAAAGAAACGGAGGGAGTATGCTGTTACATATATTTTTATCCCTCATTAAAGGGTTTAGTATACTTTTGAGATCTTTTGGTGTTTTAATGAAATTGAGATTACAAAGAGAAAATCCATATACAAGAGTAGGGGTGGGCGTTCGGTTTTTCGGTTTAATTTTTGTTCTTACTTTTTTGGTTTACGGTTATCCGGTTTTACAAAAAAACTGAAACCATATAAAAACAAGGAATTTTGGTCTAATATGCCATATACTGTAGCAAAACTTACAGAAATTACCGCAAAACATTTGTCTTTCTAAATATGCGATAATGATGGACAAGACATTGAACCAAAAATTTTTGGTAGACAAGAAATGTTGTCCACCTTTGAAACAACAGATTGAGAAGATATTTGGTGGACAAAAAATCTGGTCCACCTTTGAAACAACAGACTTTTGGTGGACAAGAATTCGAAACGACATACAAAAATTTGGGTAGACAAAAAATGTTGTCCACCATTATGGCACATTTGGAAAGATTTATGTTTTGTGGCATTTTTGCTAAGTTTTTGAACAGTAAGTGGTACATTAGTTAGATTTCTCTAAAAACAATATGTAATTTAGTTTGGTTACGGTACGGTTTTTACGGTTTTACAGTTTTTCGGTTTACAAAAATTAAAACCATATGTACCTTGGTTCAGTTTGATTTTGGTTTGGTTCTGGTTTTTTTGGTTATGCCATGTTTTTACAAAGACCAAAAACATGAACCATCAAAATGGATTTATTTTTTTTATAGGCATAAGCTAAAAAACATGTTCATCAAAATGTTCAGTTGATTTTTTATAGGCATAACCTAATAGTAACGGTTATCCACCGAAAACATGTTCATCAAACTGGATTGGTTTTTCTTTTCTTTCTCAAATTTTTTTCTTCAATTCACAAATTGTTCCTCATCGTTGCTAGAAATTTCTCATTCAAGACTTTTGCTGGTGAGAATTCGGATCTTTGTTTTACAAGCAGTGGTTCGATTTAAGTTAATACGATTTAAATGTAACAAAGGTAACAAAAGTATATGAACTCAAATCCAATCAACTGAACCAATGTTCATTAAACAAAAATCTGAATTCTCTTCAGCAAGAGTCTCAAATTAGAAATCTCCAGCAACGACGGAGAACAATTTGTGAATTACAAAGAAATTGAGAAAAATGAACATTACAAATTTATAGAATTTTTGCATAATGAAGAACAGGGCCGGCCCAAACTATTTGAGTGCCTAAAGCAAAAAAAAATTTGGCCTATTAAAAAAAATTGTTATAAAAAAATAATAGAAGTTTTAACATGTTTGGGATTCGAAACCGTGACCTATACAACAAAAGACTTCAAACTAACCACTAGACCACAGTAACATTTTAAAAATTGATGCTCTTAAATCTACTTATAATTATTTGATGCCCAAAGCCCTTGCTTTATGGGTTTTAGCCATGGGCCGGCCCTGATGAAGAAGAAGAGAACATTGTTTGCTATGAAGACTGTCACAATTTTTCTACCTTGGACCAATCTCTTTTTTCCTACGTGGTTTCCCTTACTTCCACCAATCCTCATGTTACAATGGGTAGGTCAAGGAACAAGGATCGACTTTTTCAGTTTCTCCAGAAAAATCTTGTACGTCCCAGTTTAATCACTAGAATAAGAAAAACACAGATTTTTATAGATCCCCAGAATTAATAAGGGGTATTATTCGATTGTGATTAATATAGAATTATGATGATTATAATTGATTGCAGAATTTTAAAAAAAATTCAAGGATTCCCAGAAATTTTCTAGAGAATATCACTTTACTATCTAATATTTTGAAAGTCTTAAAAAATCAATAACACTAACCTTTAATATAATGTAAAAGTTAGTCAATGTATATCTTAATCCAATAACACATGATTGAATCTCTTACTAATAAAAGATGCAATTTGAAGCTTCTCAGCCTAACCACATCAGCAAAATGAAAATTTTCCACAATCTGCCACGTCAGCAACTACTTCACGAAATATCTTCTTTGAACTTCCTTATAGCCTAGGTTGCATGGAATCAGAAGCGGGTACGCGGAAGCGAAGCGTTTGGAAACGTGGAAGCGATTTTTATAGAAATTATTGAAAGTGGGTACGTGTTGGAAGCGTATATAAAAATTAATATATATATATATATATATATATATATATATATATATATTAAACATTAAACATTATATCATATAAAAAATTATAATTAACATACAAATCTAATACATAAATTCTAAATATCTCTCTATATTTAAAAATCAAATAGTGTACGTTTACAATAGAGAAAAGTCAAATAGTTCAAAGTCAAAAATTTAAGATCATTCTTCATTCCCATTTTACTAATTCCATCAAATAAAATTGTTTTAAATTTTTTTTTACCAATAAATACATCATCAAACTCAAATTTCTCGAAATTAATTTAATTCAATTAATCATTTCAACATCTCCCTAATGAATGATCCATGCTGCTATCATTTTTCTAACTATGATATTTTAAAAAATAAAATACAAAATTAGTAAGCAAAATTAGTTTTGGTTTTTCTTTTGTTGTATAAAAAAACTATCAAAAATAATTTCTTATTTCTTATTTATTTTGTGACATCAAATTTTTTAAATGGAATCGCAACCTTCCAAAATAGAATCGTAAGCTTCCAAGGAGCTTCCAAAATGAATTTTTTAGAAGCATTATGGAAGCGAGATTCCGAAAGCTTTCGAGAGCTTCCGATTCCGACTAAGATTCCGAAGCGGGAAGCGGACGTCCGACGAAGCACGCAAAAATGTTAAAATTCGCACTGGAGTTTATTAAATGTTACATTCTTCACTCCAAAGGCTATATTAAATGTTACATTCTTATAGCACGCAAAAAAAAATTAATAAAGACATATATTATTAATGGGCTGAACTAAAGACTTAAGAATCAAGATTTAACCTAAAAAACTCAAAAGCCCAAACAAATAAAACCCAATTAGAGCATAAGACACAACAAAACTCTTCTTCTTCTTCAACGTCTAAACCTACATCGCCAATGAAGAACCTAAACCGCTTCGCCTTCCCGATATCCGAAATAAAGCACCGCCGGCCACTTAATTTTCTTAATTGCCCACTTTTCCTTGATTTAAATGGCCACTCTATTATCATTGATAGCCCCTCCTCACAGATCCTATAAAATATGCTTGACTGCGTCTCCGTAATGCAACCGTTCACCAAATCGTTGTAACGCCACTCAGAAAACTAACCATGACAACTTTTCCTACCTTCGTCCCTGCCAAAATACTGGACGGAAAAACTTTCGATGATCTTAAAGTGCTTTTTGCAAAAGATGAAGTCTTATTCAGATTGCTCTGGGAGGTTTGCAGTCACACGAGAGCCTATGATCTTTAGGGAAGCTATGACTTTTATATAGCCTTTGGAGTGAAGAATGTAACATTTAATAAACTCCGGTGTACCAGAAGTTCAAGATCGGAGAGAGAGAGTGAAGAAGCGTAACAAACTTTTATTATCCAGCTCAAAGTACAGTTACAACCAACTTAACTAAAAATGTAAACACACTTAAGCTTATATACACATGATTAATTAGAGTATTAAACTAAACTCACTAAACCCATATTAACTTAAGTTAACCGGTCCATATATCCTCAATACCCCCCCCCCCCAAGTCTCTATCTTCGTAATGTCCGGTTTGGAAGAAAGAGACTTGATAAAGACATTTGTTGAAGTAGATGATGAAAAGGACCTAGATGGAGAGCTTTAGTGAGTATGTCAGTATGTTGGTTTTCAGTTTTGGAACATGCAAAGCTTTGAGATTCCCTGCCTTGATCTGATCTCTGACTGTATGACAGTCATTTTCTATGTGTTTGGTACGTTCATGGAACACCGGATTCATAGAGATATGAAGAGCTGACTTGTTATCGCAGAACAACTTAGCCGAACAAGTTACCTTGATGTGTAAGTCCTTGAGTAGTTGCTGCAACCAAATGATTTCACAAGTTGTATGTGCCATGCTTCTATACTCAGATTCAGTACTACTTCGACTGGCAACACCTTGTTTCTTGGATTTCTAAGAGATCAATGAAGTACCAAGATAAATGCAGAACCCTGTAATAGATCTCCTTGAGTCTTTACAAGCAGCCCAATTAATATATCATGGATTTTACCGTTTTTAGCCATGATATATGCATTGTTTTTAGAGTCTTTTTGTTATTTCTAGAGTGTGGACAGAGGTTGGGAAGGAATAGGTTTGGAAGTGATTACAGAGGAGAAGTTTCCAGAATTCAAGAGATGGGTTAAGAATTTGGAGAAGGTTGATTTTGTTAAAGATTGTGTTCCACCAAGAGAGAAACATGTAGAACACATTAAATCTAGGGTGAATTTGTGCAGAAGGAAAAATGAGAACATAAATTAGGAATGGACATTATGGAAGACTTGTCACTCACAAGAGAACAATAATTGATGAAAATGGGTATGATTTACATACTTATTACAGAAAAACCAGAGCCCTTGAAATATATGCGCGTGGGCGATACCAACACAGCTTTACGAGTAAGTGAAATAACATTCTGACAATTCATAAATGCCAACCAGTTGAACTAATAAATGATCCTTACATGACCCACCACCGAACTTCGTATGTGCATGTCTAATAGAAAATGTATTTAGACACCTACATTTGAATCTATAACAAAAACTTATGGACAAAAATTAGAAATTTAAACCACTAACCTAATAACGTAGATATGTATTAATAAATGTAGCACTTATAGTTCAATATATGACTCTATGAAAGTAGATGAACATGTATATAAATTTATAGTTAAATAATTCATTAACTAATTGAGAATTTTTTATGAAATTCGAATCTTTTCCCCCGGAAAAAAACATGTTTTGATTGATTTCATGCATAGGCTATGCTCCATCGTCTTCTTCCTTTCACTCTAAAATTTCTTGTTTGGTATTATAGTGTATTTCTCTAAATCTTGACCCATTTCCACAAATATCCTTAGATCTGCATCTATACTTTGTAGATCTATTTGTGAAGATCCAAAAAATGTTTTACATCCTTATTTGTATCGTAAAAGTTATCTTTTTCCGATGAATAAACAATGGCGATGTGAATCGAGGAATTTCCCAAAACACGGCCGAATCAATTCAAGCTTCGTCGGTTGTAAAGCCTTCTGGACAACTTTAATCATGTGGAGCTTGAAGTACTGGTTAACACGCTCACCCACATATTCTTCTCGATCGGCGAATAATCTAGCAGGAAGGTCTAGATCCGCCATGGTCCTGACGAAAAAGGTGAAGATCTTCGTTAGTTATTGGAGCCGCAACAAAATTATGAATATGCAAAACACGAAAGTATACATCTATGCTCATTTGTGAATGTCCAACACAAAAAGTATCGATCTATGCTGATTTGTGAATGTCCACGATCTGGGAAAAAGAAACGACTAATATAGAATGGCCGGTTTTTTTTGCAAACGACGGAGAAACTGTAGATTTAAAACCAACGACGGTGACTAGGAGAACAAAAACAAACAAAATCGACCTAAGATTTCATTAGACTCAAGAAAACTCCGGAAAAACGCGGATGAAACTAAACCGACAGACTCTTAAAAGAACCAACTCCATACCGTAAAAGAAGATGAAAATTCTTGGTGACTGTGAGAAATAGAAACAACGGCGAAAAATGAAACGTCGCCGGAGAAGAGATACAGTGATTGAAAGAAAATAAAAACGGATGGATTGATGTAGAAGAGAAGTTGGAAACGCAAGAGAGATGGTAGTTTGCATAAATGAGAGAAACGCGTGGAAACACGCATAAGGCTATTTTTGGCAAAAAGAGGGGCTGAAATTTTCTATGTTATGAACCACGATAAGAATTTATGAAAAACTAATTAGACTCAAAATCCTTCTCTAGGCCAATTATCTCTTAAATCTATATGGGAGAGAGAGAGAGAGTGATATTTCTTAATTAAGAAGACAAATCATGTTTTGTTCTGATCATCCAATGTTTGTATGTTTGTATTTTTTTTTTTTTTGGTTGTTTGTATGTTTGTATGTTTGTATGGTTATGTTGTTGTTTATTTTAATGAATAAAGATTTCGTTTAAAAAATTTCTTCTTACGTTGTGTTTGTGTAGTGGACAGAGTGAAGTTCTATCATAACTGTTGCTGGGTTTAGTACTATATTATACTAGATTATGTACCCGTGCGTTGCGCGGAATTTTTGCATAAAATTTTTATCAATGCAAACTTTTGAGTATAAAAATAATCATTTGAATTTGAAAAGATTTTAGTTTTCTCATGTCTTTCCAAAATAGTAAAACATATCTCACACTTTTCACTACAATTTCTCTCGTTATCTTCTATAATTTACTCGAAATCTACTCTCTATTAGCCTTATATTGGCTCACATATAATATATTCGATTATAAATTAGTTCTTAAGATAGATTATATGTATTTCTTCATTCATATCTTTCAATAGTCCATTCTTTTATATAAGTTGCATGATCTTTTTTATTAAAGTTAACATCAGAATATCTGGAGAAATTTTATTCATAAAGTTTTTTGACCATGTTTTAGTGTATTTAAAATTGCTTTATAGACAACAAATCTTATATATAGACTCATTCTGAATTACAAACATCATATTCAAACGTAAAATATTACACTTTATCTTGACCAACTGAAAAATATAAAATTCTCTTTTCACATATATAATTTGGCGTATATTATGATTCTATATAGTATTATTAATGTTGATTTTTCTCAAATGTGTAACATACGAACTCATAAAAATTATTCTAATTTAAAAATACGTTTTTGTTTTATAAAAAATCCTTCTTATTTCTAACTAAAAACTCTTCCATTTCTATATTCCAATTAAAAACTATTATAATTTCCAAATAGCATTCTCAAATATTTATATTAATTTTTTAAACACTGATTAATATTAGTTTTTCTATTTTAGGCATTCATTTGTTTTTGAAAAAACACCACTTTTTACTTTAGAAAACATTAATAAAATATAAATTTTTTATTAATTGACCTATTTATATTATATTAAAGTTATAAATAATTATATGTACTCAATATTTCTTATTATTTAATCGGTATCATGAATCAATACTTTAAGATTAACAAATATATTCTATTGACAAAACAAAACAAATATATTCTCAAATTTAAATGTGTATTTTCGTAAATGAATAACTTTTTATTTTAAGTAAAAACCTTTAAATATGTTTTTTAACACTTATTTTATTTATTCTATTAAATAATTGTAACTCTTAAAAATGATTATTGTACCATTAAAATATACGATAATTTTTTTTCCTATCTCTAAACATTTAAAACTATTTACTCATTATATGTTAAGATATAATTATTAATTTTATATTTATCTCTCTATTTAAAAAAATTCACATTTTGTGTTGTATATTTTTCCATTTTTTTAGTATTTTATTGTTTTTTTTTTGGTAAATTATTGTTTTTCTTTAACAAAAGATAATAATATCATGTGTGTGAATGAATTTTAGTTTTCCTGTTTTTTGTTTTATTAAATAAAATATGTGGAGCCCACAAAAATGTAAAATATGATGATATGGATTTAAATTTAAAATCAAACTTATTTTACGAAGCGATATACAACATATGTATTGATGATAATGTTTTCTTGACAAATAAATCGTTTGATATATATCACGTGGTAATAAAGATCACTTAAGGAATTTACGGGAAAAAAAAACGGTATTGACGACCATCTCATGATCCGTTATCTCTAAAAGAGATTTTTTTCTTATTCATATTCCATGAAAACATATCTTTAAAATTAGTTTTGACGTTAATTATCGATTATTGACCTAATTGTAGATATTATTTATGATTAAATATTAATATGAACATAACATCATTCCATATAAAATACGAATATACCGAGTTTCATGAAAATTATTTAGTGTAAAGGTACATCTATAATACCATGTTGCTAGAAGAGTTTTAGCGAGCTTGTTTTACCCATCGAAACAAGTGCAATGTGCCACAAGAGAATTCTTGACTAAGTCATCAATGTACCTATCTTATCTCACTTTCCATGATTACATGGCCAAACGGTTAAGTCCAACTTTAAATTTAGAGAATAATATGTTTGATAATGTATGTCATGTATTTTTCTAAGAACTCATTCGTTCCACAAAATAAATGAGATCTCAAAAAATTTACCTTAGTTATGTGCAGTATATTTCTAAGTTTTAGAAATATATTTTCAAACACTTTTAACTATCAATTCTTTCGACATCTACTTTCTTTTCACCTTTTATTGACTCACATATAATATATATATTGGACTGTGAATTGATTTTCAAGACATATCATAAGTATTTTCTCCTTAATTATTATTCCCTTTGTTTCATTGTATTAGATGTTTTAGGGATTTTTTTTTATTTTGTTTCATATTATAAGATATTTTACAAGTTTCAATGTAAATTTAAATGCATTTGACCCTTTGTAACTATTTATATTTTGCAGTCTTTATAATGATTGGTTGAATTATTTTAACTAAATATAAATGATGTTTTTAAAAGAAAAATAAATGATCTAAATATGTGTGTATTTACCTAGAACCTCTTATATTTTGAAAGAGATGGAGTATCTTTCAATACTTAATTTCTTGGGTTAAAAGCATTTGATTCAATTAATGAAATATCAAAATTGTTTTTCTTTTTGATCATGTTATAAAGTTGTAGTTCCACTTGAGAATATGCTACAAAATTATATTTTTTTAATGGCTATTTTCTTTTTTGGTTCAAATCATTTTTTATCATGTTTTTAATAGCTTACATATCGTTTTTAATATATTTTGTAGAATAAATTATGTATAATGTGATTATTGATTATTTATCTTCTTAAAGATAGATGATAATGTTTAAAAAAAATCAAGATTTTTTTTTTAAATTCACAGAATAAAGTGTGACTCTTACAATATCTTCGTCTTGTATTAGAAATTTAAGTTGAGTTTAGTAATCTTTTATTTTTAAGTAAAAATTTAATAATAAATAAAAATATGTAATATATTGTACTTAGAAACTAATGTTTCACTTTAAATTTTATTTTCTTGTTTAAAATTTTACATAGAGGATTACATATGTATAATGTGATTATTGATTATTTATCTTCTTAAAGATAGATGATAATGTTTAAAAAAATTCAAGATTTTTTTTTTAATTCACAGAATAAAGTGTGACTCTTACAATATCTTCGTCTTGTATTAGAAATTTAAGTTGAGTTTAGTAATCTTATATTTTTAAGTAAAAATTTAATAATAAATAAAAATATGTAATATATTGTACTTAGAAACTAATGTTTCACTTTAAATTTTATTTTCTTGCTTAAAATTTTACATAGAGGATTACATAAGTTTTGTTCTATTCTACCATGCATTTAAAATTTAGTTCAATTCTAAAACTCATTAACACTGATTATTTTTAATTTTTATCTATTAAAAGTTGAGTTATATTATTACTTCTAATAAATTTTCATAGTATTTTTTTTACTTTTAACATAAATATACACTAAATGAATTTTTTAAATTTTTTATGTAAAAAAATTGTGTTGTTTAGGTGGATGTTTAGGTGGATGCTTAGGTGGACACCCTAGATGGAGAGAGAACTCCCTAATTATATATATAGATTTAAGAAGATTTACAGAACATCTATGTTGCGTCTCATCTACAAATATAAATTTTGATATATTTTTTGAAACAAATATTTTTTTTTTATCTTCAATTTCACTCTTTCATCTTTGCTTATGTAGATTCTCTATTTCGAGTTTCTCACCAAATCCTTTGATTTCTTTTCTTTCACCGGAGGCATGATTTTTCCTGACGGAGTACTCTTGATTTTTTTTTCTTTCACTGGAGTTTTTAGGTATTCAACACATGAATCGAGAAAATAGGTTTTCATACGGATATTCGCATGCCGTATATCCACAATTTCGGATCCGGATCTAGAAAATAGGATTGTGGATTCGGTCAGATGCGGATCCGGATACCTTTTATTTGCCTGATATCTATATCCGTCTCAGGGCTACTTTTTAGTGTACCACTTTTTATTATTTTGAGATGTTAATTTTGCGATGTAACATAAACATCGTCTTATCAAAAAAACTTAGTGTACTTTAAATTTGTTGCTTCGACCAATTTTGTGTTAACATCATTTGATTCAATTGATGAAATCTCAAATTTATTTTTCTTTTTGACCATGTTACAGAGTTTTAGTTCCACTTGAAAATAGACTTTTCTTCGAGATTTGCTACACAAATTATAGATCATTTTTTAACGGCTTACATATCATATTTTATTGTAGAACTAATGAATAATATAACCTTTGATTTTTTTTTTTAGAGGATGGATTATAATATTTAAGACTTCTAAGATATTTTTTTCTTATAATTTCTCAAAAAAGTGTGAACTTTACAATTTCTTCTTTTTAAAATTTTAAATTGAGTTTAGTAATCTCTTATTTTTTTCTTAAGTAAAAATGTAATTATAAATAAAAATCCTTAGTATATTGCTTTTAGAAACATATTTTTAACTTTAAATTTTATTTTCCTGTTCAAAATTTTATAAGTAGAGTTATATAAATTTTTTTTACTATAACATGCATTTAATCTTACTTCTATTCTAAAACTCATTAACACATTAAAATTTTTGAAATATGACCACTTAAAATTTTTGGTTCTATTAAAAGTTGAATTATACTATTATTAACAATAAAATTTTCATAGTATTTTTTTACTATTTTAAAATTTCATATATTTTATTTACTTTCTTTTTTATTTAATTAAATTTCAATTAATTACAAATAACTAAGTATGCACTAAATGAATATTTTAAATATACTTTATATAAATTATTATTATTATAGTGGGCTACTTAAAGGACAAAATTCTGTATTAGATCAAATATTTTTTAAAATCATCTTTAATTTTCTTTTGTTTTTTTGGTTCATGTTCTTGGTTTATCCAAATAATAATATGTTTAATATAGTAAAAAAACTCAAAGAAACAACTATATATATAACATTAATTTTTTAACATATTAAACATTATATTATCATTAAGGAACAATTGATATAACCCATAGTTTAGTGATTCAACTTATTATAAACTATCATAGTTTTTTTATTTCTTTCTTTTCTGCATTAGTATATGTTGAACATAGTACTGCCTGATTCCTCTTCAGATTTCTTCTCTTTTTCAATCATGTTTATCTTCCTGACCAGCTTCATGTTTACTGCAGAATCCAAAGCCACAAGTACAAATCCATAGCAGAGAAAATCAAATGTTAAGCAACAAAAACAACCAAATGCTTTCTTAGTTTATATACTATGCAATAGCTACCCAAAACTATCAACTAACAACTCCAAAAACAACAAAAGCTCAAACTGAAATCTTTCACTGAACCAAATACTGCAAATGGCTCATGGATTGATGAAATATTGAAGCTACAATGTGTGTTATTTAACAATATGTTGCCTATATAGTCATCTTAGTGCATATCAATCTACTATGATTGCAAGAATAGAAGTTCAAAGAAAACTACCTGGAGATCAGAGTTGAGGTCAAACCCTCTATTATTGATAGAGCACTCTTCAGTCAGATTCTCCTGGTTTTGGTGAAAATGCAATAAACGAACATGAATTCTAACTAAGCATCGCATCAAACTGTTTTGTTTTAGGTAATACCGATTACAATAAGTAAACTAATCACCTGCTCAGTCTCGTTCATATCGATTGGAACATTCATGTCCGGCAAAATCATTTCAGCAGGAGTTGGCACACCCTGAACAGAACAATTTAGCACATAAAACTTGTGACTTCACGAGTAAGATTGCGAAAGGAGAAGAAATCTAACCTGATGGACGACACAGTGCGGTCCAAAAGGAACATGATCAATCAGGAAATCATAAGTTCCTGAGTTCTTTACGGCCTGGAAGATATCACAACGCCGGATGGTCTGACGAGTGCATGATTGAGTATTCATCCATGCTCGTAATGTTAGCTCTAGAATAAAGTATTCACAAGCTTTCGAAAACAAGGCAGGAACATCACAGCTTATCTTCTGAAAATTCACATTTTATCTTAGGAAAATTTGTTATACCAAACATTTTCTTCAAATCTTTGATGTTACATATATCTTGCCTATAAAGTATCAATATCACCTTAGAAATAACAATAAAAGATTCAGAAACTCTAGACCAGCCAACATAAGCTCAAGGTAACATCCCATACCTTGACTTCAGGATTGGATTTCAAAATCTTTCTGACCCTAGATAGCGGCAAATAAGTTTGGCCTGTAGGTAACCAAAACAAGTAGAAGAATTACGTAATCGACAAGCATTTAGGTGTCAATGTAGGTACTCTAAACATCTCTGAATATCAGTCACCTGCAAAGTTTCCTAGTTGTTCCCTTTGATTATTCCAAAACACCTTCAGAGCTGTGTCCAATGAAGAGGTCCCCTCGTTCTGTTCAGACCAAAAGGTTAAAGATACGATACATCAATAGACTTCAAGCCAATAACAGAGAACAAGAACTGACTGTATTTACCTTGCTTGTCGCAGGATGATTAGACCGAACAGGTTCCATCCTGATGCGAGATGACTTTGGCCTCCTCATGTTATATTTCACAAGAGATGATGAAAAATCTTTGAAGATGTAGAGGTTGGCAAGAACAGGGGTGTCTATATATGGAGCTAGCTAGAATCATAACGTATTAATAGTCATTTAAGAGTGTACCAATGAGTAAGAGATTCCTTTTAAAATGGTGAACACCCTTTTCTGGAATAAAGAGGAAAACATTAAATACTCACACGTTAGTAAGGATATACCTCGTGGGGCTCGTGAGGCGTACATACGAAAGAACCATTCGCAGACCTTTTCCGTGAAAGCCACGCGCTGTGTTGATGAAACCGGATGACTAAACTAAGTCTAAAATGTAATTTCAAGAAGCCAAAGATATCAATATGCCACAACCCATCCTCATACTAAGACACTATGTGATCTAGTCATCAATGAAGTTGTCACACAAGTAAACCTGGATTAGATCAAAGCCACATCAAGTATATGAGTTCTGATTTTGGTAACTCCTAACTTCCACAAATGATAGAAATGTAATGGCATAAAAACAAGGAAATGGTTTTAGAAACATTCAGATTAGTAAAAAGAATATATCCTATTTCTTGATTATTGTATCAGTTAGACACCAACAAGTATGTAATCACCAACTTTCACAGAAACAGACTATAGAGAACATTGAACAACCCACTAGATCTTGTTGTTCTTTAAGATTCAAATTGTAATCTATCATTCAGCTATATAGTATCCTCTCACTGGAAAATGCACTAAATGGTATCCAGATATCAATATATTCAGACAACTAGAACAAAAATTACATATAAAAATTCATAATTTCATGACAGAACAGACCTAGTGTCTTCATAAGGATCAGCAACATACAAATAAATGTTGGTAGCTAATCAAAACAATGGTTACCAATCATATGCTATATTTATTTTTTGTTACCGCTAGGATGAGTCTACTCCATGTATAATATGATCATGCACAACCATGAACAAGAACAAGAATGTGAATCATTTCATAGAATTTAGACTCCTTAAAGATTCTAACAATTCTTAAATGGTTTGAGTTTTTTTAACTTTTTCGACTGAAAAACTTGGCCAAGCGTGGAACTTTCTTTTTCTTCTTGATTACAAAGAAAGTCGGAGTCCCTGCAGATGAATATCTTCTTGGCTTCCCACGTTGTACCGGTGTGAATTTTCCAACTGGTTTGGGAGAAATATAGCCTTCGGTTTCCGAGTTCTCCTTAAACTTCTGAATCTCACCCTCCATCAATCTCTTCGTCGACAACGACCTTTCTATCCTAAACAATTCTTTCTCTTCTTCCGCTCTCATCATTTCACTTTCTCTCATCAAAGTATCCGACTTCAGAAGAACCGATTTGGTGCTAACCTTGAGTGCTTCCACCCACGCCTCTGCTGCTGCAACTTTCTTCACTGCGGTTTCTTCTGCTTGAGAAGCATGTTTACTCAAATACTCGTACTCAAACCTCGAGATTGTTATTGTTGAACAATGCTCGGACTCCATTTCGCGACTCTCTATCGTGTCTTCTACTAGAGTCTCAAGCTTCTCAAGCACTAAAGCCTCAGTGTGCTTCACTTTTTCAAGCTCATCCAACTTTGAAATCAGTTCTCTTTCTTTTTTATCTATTTCGATTTTGGTTTTCTGTGTTTCCGCCTTTGTAACCATCTTCTCTTCTTTGAGAAAAAACTCCTCTTTCTCTGCAGCTTTGCTACTTCTCTTTAACTTCTCAAGCGAACCAACTAAATTGTCAGCAAGCGAGCTAATTCTTTCTTCTGCTATAGAAACTGCTTCCAACTTCGATCTTTCGATAAGCATCTTCGAGTTAATCTTCTGAATCTTAACATCATTTTTCCTCAAGATTTTTTCAAGTCGAGCTGTTTCATCTTTGGCTCGAATAATCTCATCCCTCAACCCATCCATTACCGTCATGATCCTAAAGATTTCTACATTAACAGAAACAAGCTCCTCCTTTTTCGCTTCAGTCGCTTCAGTCACTTCTTTCAGCACCGATAAACTATACTTCCCTCTTCCAAAAGACCGGTTTGATCTCGACATGCTACTGTCTCTCCCCTGAACTCTCCTCTCAATTTTCTTGAAAAGCTTTAACTGTATTTCCAACATCTCAACATCCGAATTCGTCTCGAACAACTCATTCTCAATATCTTTGGATCTTTCCGCCTCGTCCAACATTTTCTTGATTCTCTTATTTCTTTCCACCAACAAATCCAAAACCTCAACAGCTTTCCCTTCTCTTTGCCTTTCTATCTCTTTATATCCCTTCAACGCCTCAATCTTTCCCAATGCAGCCATCAAATGTTCCTCATTCGCAACCTCGATTTCCTTCTTAAGACTCTCCAACAATCTCAAATTCCCTTCCGTTTTAAACCGCAATTCTTCCACTTCTTTCTCCGCTGCAATTCTCTCTCCCAAAACAGATGATACATCAAGCTTCACTCTACTCACTTCTTCTTTCACAGCCTCCAAAACTCTCATAACTTCCGCGTACTTCTCCTCGATCTTCGACACTTCCATATCTTTTTCCTTAAACTCCGGACCACGGTTCAACATCTCTATAAGTAATCCCGACTTCTTTACCTCGAACAATCCCGCTTCTGCTCTAGCTTTTGCAGTCTCTGAATCTCCTCTGCTCTCATCGTACACACCAAGTTTCTTTCTTGACATGTGCATAGCCTCCACAACTAAAGACGACTGATACAGAAATTAATAACACAAAAAAAAAAAAAACACACAGAATCATCATCAATCCCAAGTTCAAAAAAAAAAAAAAAAAAAAAAAAAAAACATAACTCCAGTTTAAACGATTTTGGTTCTACCTTAACAATTGGTACCCTCATGTCGGAATCTGCCATTGCTCGATTCCTCTTGATTTTTCAATCCGACTTGTGTTCAATCTTTTTGTCACCCAAATGATTTTCTGTGTTAAATCAAAATTTAAATGGACATAAGTAAACGTACCAGTGAATAAGAAGGAAACGACCGGTGATGATGATGATGATGGTGGTGTTTGATAAGTTGTTATCATCATTTTGATATTCCTGGGAGAAATTTAAGACGTTTTGTTTTTTTCTGGGAATATAATCTGAGGACGAGGACTAAACAGGTAGCATGAATAATGGCAAGAATAACAAAACAAGAATCACAAAACATTGTTATATAATTAAGATTCTCAAATCGTCTGGGTGGTGTAGTCGGTTATCACGCTAGTCTCACACACTAGAGGTCCCCGGTTCGAACCCGGGCTCAGACAATTTTTCAGCTTTTCTATTTTTTCTTTTAGAAGCCCACTTAATCTATATATAATAGCAATCTCAATAAATGTCTTTTGCATCTTTGAATGCATGCGTCTTTTTATCGCAACATTTCGTTTAAATATTTATGGTTATTTTTTTACGGTTGTGTCTTTTTATCACATCTATTCGTTAACGTATTTACGGTTTTTTCTCCTGTTATATTTGCTCAATTACAGTCGTATCTTTTCAGTTTACGGCGTGTCTTTATAGTTGCATCAATTCATGTAAAGTTATGTCTCATATTGTATAGATTTAAATTTTGGTTTTTTAACTAAAATATATATTTTACGTTTTTTTTTTCAAAAAGTTGCAATTTGAATAAATATTTTTTACGGTTGCATCTATTTATCGTAACACCTCATAAACAATTGCGATTGTTTAGTTGAACCATTGCAACATTTACTTTATTTAAATAACAATTGTAATTTTTGATTTATTTTATAAAACTTTAAAACATTTATTTTTTTAAAATAAAAATATATATTTTACGGTTGATTTTTCTTTTTAAATTACGATCCAAATAAATAGCTTCTACGGTTGCATTTTTTATCTTAACTTTTCGTAAACGGTTGCAACCGTTTGTTGAACCATTGCAACATTTAGTTTATTTCACGAACAAATGCAACTCTTGGTTTATTTTATATATTGTTATAACATTTAATTATCTACAGTCACGTCTTTCGGTGTAACTTTTTATAAACTATTATTTCAATTTTTGTGACTAAAATATATTTAAATAAAATTATAACCGTTTAATTGAACCGTTGCAACATTTGGTTTATTTGACAAATTATTGTAACTTTTGGTTTTGTTTTATGAACCGTTGCAATCTTTAGTTTATTTGACGAACGATTGCAACTTTTACAATATATAATATCAACGGTCTCGTCTTTCGGTTATAGTTCTTCATCAAAATTTTAATTTTAATTACTATTTAAATGAATATATTTCTATCGTTTAATAGAACATAATAACATTTGGTTTCTTTGACGAATCAATGAACATTTTGGCTTATCTGATGAATTGTTGTAACCTTTGGTTTATTTGATAAACCGTTACAATATTTGATATAATTGATGAACTATTGCAACTTTAGTTTATTTTGATGAATTATTACAACTTTACGTATATTTGATGAACTGTTGCAACATTGCTTTTTGCAATACATTTTTGAGAGCACTAACTAACGCTTTTTTTTAAAAAAAAAAGCATAAATACAGTTATATCTGTTCATTTAGAGTATTATTTTGTAACCATGTTTTCTTCGTATTTTTCATCTTAAACACTTGGTTCTAATAATTGTGTCTTTTACAAACAATTTGTTCTATTTAAACTTTCATGACTTTTTAACTATATATATAGTGTAAATTTAATTTTCTTTTTGTTTGATATTTTAGAAAGTTACATTTTTGCTATTTAGCATTCATGTATATACTTTGTTATCTATATTATTATTATTTTTTCTAAATAATTATCTATTTTGGTTATTTGTTAAATTTTTTTCGAAGATTGTCTATTTTTAACATAATATAATTTAAAATATTGCGTCGTTTTATTGTATTATTTTAATAAATATATTTATATGGTTATGTTTATAGTAGTTTAGAAAATTAAAAAATTGCATCTACTCATTATAACTTTTTGTTAAATATTTTTATTTGTGATCTCATCTTTTCACCATAATATTTTCTAATAATAATACAAATCTTCAAAAATGATTTTGAGGGTTTACGTCTCTCTATTATATTTTTTTGTAAAATATAACTTTATTTATTGTTAAAAAAAATTGTTTTGAAACTTATTGTCTCAATTCAGTATGACATTTTGTTTGATATTTTTTAAAAAAAAAAAAATTGAAATCTTTTGCTCCGCGACATCGCGGGGGGTCTAAGTCATAGTATTAATAAATTAAGAAAATCACACTTTTATCCTTCAATGTGTCACTGAGTAGCACTTTAAACCTTAAAAAAATTCTTCTATCACTATAAACCACCAACATAAATTTACTAACATTTTAAACCTCCAAACTACCTTTTCTAGTTTGCATCACCATAAAAAATGATGGAACGATTAATTAATCTTTGTTTAATATAACTTTAATTAATTTTATTTAATTTTATTATTTATAATGATTTTACGATTAATAAAAAGGTATAAAAAAAAAAACTTCATCATCTTCGACTACTCACCGTCCGACCATAAAATCTTGAGGTTTTTATTCAGTTCATTCTATGTGTTTACCATGTTTTTCTCTTATATCTTAGATTCTACATTATTTGGTTTATATTCTTCTATTTTATACTTTTCTTGTGCTTTAGTCTCTAGTTTCAGAGATTTATCAAAAAAATTCATGGTCGGACAATGAGTAAAAGAAGAAAGTAAATTTCTTTTTTGTTTTTTTTTAGATTTTTTATTAATTGTAATAAATAATAAAATTAATTAAAACTAAAATTGTATTAAATTAATTTATATTTAACAAAAAGAAATTGAATGTTCCGTCATTTTTATGGCGGCGCAAACAGTGCCGTGCCTAGGGTTATCGGGGCTTGAGGCGAGATTGAAATTGGGAGCCTTTCAATAGAATTTTTCAAATAAAATAAATTTTTTAAAAAATGGAAACGATACAAACGCATATCTTTGTCTTTCTTGTGTCTTTTTTTGTGCTCCCGTTGGATACGATTTCAAAGACATGTTTCTAAAGATTAAAAAATAAACAATTTATCAAATCAGCCTAATGATAATTTATAAACAAAGCTACTATAAAGATAAATTAGAAGCAATAAAGCATGTTCTAAAAGTTTTTAAAGGAATAAACAAAACCAGGTTATGAGGAATGTAAAATTATAAATGAAAGAAACAGAGGACAGAGACTTACTCGATTCCTTTTCAATTTATGATTCTGATTTCTTTTTTGGTTTGAGATACTTTCCCTACCGGTTTGGAATCTAGATTTCCTTTTTTTTATATCCATTCTCAATTTCCTTTTTATAAAGCCTGGCTAATTGTGTATATATTTGAAAAAAAATTAATCACAGGAATTGAACCTGGACTGTTCAGGAAATATAATGTCCCCTAAAACCACTATGATACACTATATTTTCTTGATCTTGGGGCCTTCAAAAATCTTTATATTTCCGGGGCCTGAAACAAAAGCCTTTTTCTTACCCATTGGCACGGCCTGGGCGCAAACCAAAGAAGTTGGCTTGAAGGTTTAAAGTGTTAGTAAAAACAACAATTCTTGGGTTGGGTGAACCCTTGTATTCACCTCTTTTGTTTTTAACCAATGAATGTGCCATGTCATCTAACATTTAATTAAAAATAGAAAATTAAACAAATTAATAAAATAAATTAAGAAATAAAATCATTAATCAGAAGATTAAGTTAGTTAACGGAGACGTCGTTAGTGTTAGTATTTCACGTTAGGGTTTTGATTTTTTTTTTCTATGGCCATTGATACGTCGTCATCGTTTGAAGAAACGTGAAGACATGGGAAAGACGACGACGACGGTTTTCTTTGGCAATTTTATGATTTCCATCTTCTAGGATCACAATTTTCCAAATCTCTTTAATTTTCTGTGAACTGCAATTATTAGCTCTCATATAATTGCTTATCAGTTTGAAGTGGTATAAGAGTATTACTTGGTTTGGTCTCTCTTGTTAACCTGACTTGTTCAATTTTTTTTGTCATAAATACAAGTAGAAAAAAACGTGAAATACTTTGACACAAAATATTGACTAAGCGAGAGACGGGAGGAAAGAACATGTTACTTTTAATAAATCATGATTTTTTAATAAATGGTGTATACACATGACGAGAATATACTTGTGTGCATCATGCCTTTTTCTTTTATGTATTGGCTAATACGTTTCTATGTGACTAGAATGCATCAAATGAAATTTCTGCAAAGTTGCAGGGTGTACCAAATCTCATCATTGGCAACTACAGCGATGGAAATCTCGTTGCTTCTTTGTTAGCTAATAAGCTAGGTGTGATACAAGAGCAGAGTGACAGATTTAAAACTAATTAAGCTTTCACCCATATACCACTACAAACTGATAAGCAATTAGATGAAAACTATTAACTGTAGCTTCATGCAAAATTAAAAACATTTGGAGAATTGTGATCGTAGAAGATGGAAATATAATTCTGAGATATATTTGATACTTAGAATTCTCTGGTTGTAGAATATACCTTTCTAGAGTCAAAGTCTAAAGGAATATCAATTGTATCACCTATGGTTCAGGGAAAGAGGAGAAAGTTTTTACGTTGCAGCAGAAACAATTCCAAAATTATGAAAGTTCTAATACAATAGAAGTGGGTGAATTGGTAATGCTAAATATCAATGGCCATAGCGAAAAACATCAAAACCCTAACGTGAATACTAACACCAACGACGTCTCCGTTAACTCACTTAATCTTTTGGTTAATGATTTTATTTCTTAATTTATTTTATTAGTTTGTTTAATTTTCCATTTTTTAATTAAATGTTAGATGACATGACACATTCATTGGTTAAAAACAAAAGAAGTGAATACAAGGGTTCACCCCTAGGGGTGAATACAAACCCAAGAATTGTTCGTATATATCTTGATAATTTATAATGTTAGTGAAATTATTTTGAGGTTTAAAGTGGTACTCACTAACATTTTAAAGATTAAAAATGTGATTTTCTTTTATTAAATTATCTACTTTAACGGACGTACACTTACTTGACATGTATCTTTTGTAGTGCTCTGAATATATATTTGTTTTAACTTTTTCTATAAATCCATTTGATATTTATTATTAAAAGTAGCCTATAATAGGAGGTTCAATAAATTACATATACTTTAACGGGCGTACACATACTTGACATGTGAGCATTTGTAAATCATTATTTTTCACGTCATATGCATGATTGCCAAATGTATGAGCGTTTAGTAATGAGACAAGACTTAAGAACTTGTACGTTACAACTACATCTATATATAACAGCAGTTCTATCATCCTGAAAATCACAAACACATTCTCAAATACACACTTCAAAAACCAAAACAAAAAAAATTTGAAAGTTAAGAAAAGTTGCTAGGGTTTTGAAGATATGAAGTTCACGACATTTGTGTTCATTGTGTTCGTGGTAGGTGCCATGTTATCTCCAGTTCCAGTCAGAGCAAGAGTGGTGGAAAGTTTTAAAGAAGAAGTAAATGTAACGTGTGATGCTAATGAGCTTAGTTCATGCTTACTGCCATTCACCACAGGAGTATCACCGTCAACAACTTGTTGCACAAAACTAAAGGAGCAACAGCCGTGTTTTTGTACATATATTAAAGATCCAAAATATAGTCAATATGTTGGTACTCCAAACGCTAAGAAAACGTTAGCAACTTGTGGTGTTCCTTATCCTACTACTTGTTGAAGTTTGAGATATTGCTAAAAGAAGTTATTAATAATCATCAGATATATAATGAGAGAGTTTTCTTATTTTGGCAAAGAAGTTAATAATTATTATTAATCACATAATCATGACAAACACCCCAATAAAAACAAACCCTGGCAAATAATAGTACTTATTTTCATGCTAATCAAGAACAACAACAATGCTATTAATTTTACCGTAGTAAGAATTATTTTTATTTAATTTTTGTAATAATCATTAATTAGACTCAGTAATTGAAGACTAGCTAATATAGTTAATGATAGCTTCTTGTACCTTCATTCGGAATTTGCCATTACTCGAATCCTCTTGATTTTTCAGTCCGACTTGTGTTCGGGCAATTACAAATCCAATCCTTTAATCACCCAAATGATTAAAAGCACATGTAAATACCCTGAGAATTTTTCAACACAAGATTCAAAAATTTTGGAACCTTCATTTTTTTTTTTTTCCTTAACACATACCTTCGTTAAAAAGACAGCAAATCCAAACAAGGAAGCAAAATTTTAGAATTTGTAAAACATTCTGAATTTTCTCATTAAAATTATTGTTGATCTGTACAACAGTACATATAGGCAACATGTACAAGTATCTTAACGTCTAACTAAACGATTCCGTTATATACAACGACTCTGTTAATCACTGTTAAGTGCTCTGTTTTCGTCCTCTATTTATGCAATTCTTCATGTACTGTAACATCTTCCCTTAAGCTGGCATGAATGAATTGGAGTTGCAAGCTTACTCCGAAGATTACGAAATAGTCCATGGTAAAGGGGTTTAGTAAGAATGTCTGCAATCTGACGTTCAGAACGAACATGAACCAACTTGAGAGTTTCCGCTGAGACGCGATCACAGAAAGTATGACAATCCCGATCGATATGCTTCGTACGTTCACAGAACACAGGATTGTTGCCAATATGTATAGCATCCTAATTGTCATAGTAAAGAACAGTCATCGTTTTGACAAGAACACGCAAATCCTCCAATAAGCTGTGAAGCCAAACAATTTCACAAACTGCAAAGGCCAAACTCCTGTACTCAGCCTCCGCAGAAGAACGTGACATAATGTCTTGTTTCTTAGACTTCCACGAGATAAGAGAATCACCAAGGAAGACACAGTAACCAGAGACTGACCGGCGAGATCCAAGACAAGTGCTAAAATCAGAATCAGCAAAGGCTTTTAATTCCATATTAGGATCTGATGAATAGAAAAGACCTTGACCCACTATACCCTTGATGTATCGAAGAAGCTTGTGAACTGCTTGATAATGAGGTTCCCTAGGAGAAGCAGTATATTGAGCCAGTTTGCCTACAGCAAAACATATGTCCGGCTTTGTAATAGTCAGATATATCAACTTACCAATAATGCTTCTATATGATTCTGGATTATCAATAAGCTCTCCATCATCCTTAGACATTGGTTGATTTGGCTCCATAGGTATAGAAGATGGTTTAGAAGCTAGTAATCCAGCTGAATCTAACAAATTTAAGTCCATATAGCCGTTGACACACTGAGATACCTGAAGAAGTCTGAGCTATTTCCAGGCCTAGAAAATATTGGGCAGGTTCAAGATCACGAAACTTGAAAAATGACTGCAATTGTGACTTAGGAGTTGATGCAGCATCATCATCATTGTTTGATATAATAATATCGTCAACATATACCAAAACAATGAGAACAGCAGAACCTGTAAGATATATGTCTTTTCAAAATTTTATGTCTTTGATTAGATTTCACTTGTCACGATTTGGTTATTTTGCAGCGGTTACGTTGGCACACGAGTTTTTTGGGACGTCGCAGTTTTCCCAAACCCAAAAAAATCTCTCAAATTATCACTAAAATCAAATTAGTTCTTGCGGTTAAGTGTAAAAATGGGGAGGTGTCAACCCGATTTTTTAGTCAAATATATATTACTCTATAACTGCTTGATTAATAGCAAAAACATTTTACTAATATATAAGAGAAATACATGTATGCCTAAATGTGTACATATTTTGGTAGTTTAATTTCTAATATTTTATATAATTTCTTTACTAATAGAAAAATCTTTAATAATATAAAACAAAGAAGACAAAATCACACATCATATTTGTAATATGTTTTACACCAAATTTTATCCGATAAAATTTTTTCTTTCTTATTAATACAAAATTTTTAATAACAAAAATGATTCTATAAATATAAATAAAAGAAAATTTGTGTTAAGAATAATAAAAAAAAATAAACCATTATATTCTGTTTGCATTACTAATGTCAATCTATAGATACTTAAATGATTAATAACTTAGTAAAAAGAGAAAACAAGACAAAAAAAAAACAAATATTCTTCTTCGACAAAAGTCTCCACTGGCAAACCAGATTCATTTAACTCAGGCAATGGTTTCTCCATTTTTTCTGATAATGAGAGTTGAAATCAACAGTTTGTTGAGAAACTATTTAGCTCCTTGAATGTCAAATGAAACAGCAATAATGAGTCAAAATAGGACTAAAATCGAGTCAAAATCGGGTAAAATTTGGTTAACTTCCTAATCACGTCAAACCAAGTTACGTGATTATCGGTTTATTGATTGGTTTAACTAGTGACGTAAGACTTTAGATAAAACGAAAATTTAAGAAGCCAAAAAATCATGTAGAAAAAGTGAGAAAGCAAGATTTACATGGAAGAATATTGCGGCAATCATAATTAAAAACGCAAAAACTTTATTTGATCAATATTTTGGAAAACGAAATCCTACGAACAATCGAATACATTAATATTGGCGAGAAGTTTTAGATAATGCATAAACGACGCGGTCATAATATGCATATTCAAATTTTTAGCAGCAATATTGATCGATTGAAGTAACATTTCTCTAAAACTTATCTTGATTTTATATCAAGAAAGACAAACTAATATAATGATAGCCAAAGACAAGTTGGAGAGTTTACGAATCATTGTAGTTCAGTCGTACCACTCAAATCGTTATAAGATATGTTTAGAACTCGACGTAAGCATGGCGAATAGCTCACATCTCCGACATTACTCTTTCAAGCTATTGATCACGTTGTTCGGAACCATAAAGGAAATGAACTCAAACAAACAAATTGACGGGCTGCGTATATGGTTTTAATCAAGAAAGTCTAATTGTCTTCTATCTTTGTTTTGAAAATTTTAGAATTTCAGTTAACTTAAGCAAAATGTTGCATTTAATGTACATAAGGTTTGCTAGTTGAATAAATTTTCATTCTTAAAAAAAATACAAAATTTAGCAAATGCGGGAAACAAAAACTGTAGATAATGAGATGAGGTCAATTTTTTAGAAAAGATATAAACAAACCAAAAAAATAAATGAAATTTGTAAAAAATGACAAGAAAAACAAAAAATAATCTTTTTATTTTACAATATTGATGTTAATAGGAATATTTTTGGTAGTTTATACATAAAATTTTATCAACTTTATTTTGGGTTTATATGGTAGTTTTTCTTTTATGAGTTACAATGTTTCCCATATGAAAAAATCTCTTTATACTTTAACGTATGTATATGCAACCTACACACTCGACACATGTATGACCATTTGTGGAACATGAGTCATGGACCTTCACATTATTGTGTATGATGGCCAAATGGAAGAATTTTACTTACAATTTATACACTCAACACATGTGTGTAAGCATTTGTGGAACATGAATCCTAACTTTCACTTTTTTTGCATGGTTGCCAAATGGATCAATTTTTCTTAACGAGATAAGACCAATCTGACTTTCCTGTTAGAACTACGTAAATGTTATATATATAAGTGTTTTACCATCCTAAAAACCTACAAAACCAAAATATCAAATATATATCTCTTAAAAAAATTGAAAGCAAAAAAAGAATCATCAAAGTTTCAAGACATGAAGTTCATGACACTAATGATCATCACATTTGTGATAGTCATCATGTCATCTTCTATTTTGATCAAAGCAGAAGAGGCACAGTCATGTGTTCCAACAGATCTCATGCCATGCTTACCGGCAATGACTACAGGAGGACAACCGGCTAAAGATTGTTGCGACAAACTGATTGAGCAAAAATCATGTTTATGTGGTTACATTAAAAACCCATTATATAGTATGTTTGTTAGCTCTCCACTTGCTCGCAAAGTTTTAGAAGCTTGTAATATTCCTTATCCTAGTTGTTAAATCTCAATATTTATAATAAGAAAGTATTATTAATAATAAATCTAAATCTTATATAACAACATATCAGTGATAATGATGGTTTGTTGGGAGTTTTTCATGCAACGTTGAAGCTTAAAAGGTTTGGTGTTCCAATGAAAAATTGTGGTGTTTATTGGTTCCAATCAAAAGAACACACACTTCCACTGTTTTTCTATGTCTTATTCATTTAGTATTTTGAGTTTGAGTTGGAAAACAAAACAAATGGAATATTTATTTGTACAAGGGAAAAATGTAGTACTGGAATATAGATTCATAGACTTCTAGTAACCAAAAAGAAAAAATAGACTAATTAATTAATTCCTACCACTATTAACTTGCAAAACAAATGAAAATGATTAAGCTCATATTGACTTTATCAAATATCACGATTCACATCACCACTTTGTGCTCATGAAATACTCTTCCGTCCGAAAGAAGTGTAAGCTTGTGGTACTTTTGTAGTATTTTTATAAATTTGTCAAAATAAATTTTAGAGCAACCAACAACATCAACATAAATGGAAAATACAGAAAATCAAATCTTTTTATCTTATGTCAAGTAGAGAAAATATAGTAGAAAATCTATCTTTTTTTTCTCAAGTAGGAAAATATATTTTATTTCAGTTTCTTGTAAAAAATAATTACCATATTATAGGTTGTGTCAATAAGACAGTGATCTGGGGAAATCAAAGAATGTAAGATTGCCTCTAATTTTTCAATTTTAGTTTCTCATTTACACATTGATTTGTAAAAGTATTGTAGTGTCTTTAAGGCCTTCGTGAATATGGACCCAGGGCCAGTCCAGTTAAATCCAGGGCCGAGTAGGAAAAAAAAAAATCTTTTCTAAAAAATAAAAAATGCTACAACATTTTTTTGCCAATTATGGGGCATTAATAATTTATATTTAATAATTTTTCTTATTTTTTGTACATTTTTTGCTAATTATAGGATTTGTTTTGCTAATTATGGGGTTTTTTTGCTATTTATGAGAAATTTTTGCTAATGTTAGAATTTTTTTGCCAATTATGAGGCATATTTTACAAATTATGAGGCATTTTTGCTAATTTTGGGTTTATTTTACTAATTGTGAGGCTTAAAAAAAAACAAAACAAATCCCACAAAATTGAGGCCCAATACAAATGTGTCAAGGGCCGGGCCTGTAAGGACCGTGTGCAAAATATATATTAATCGAATCGAAAGAGATTCATCTCGATGTAAGTCTTTAAGACATTAAGTGTGGCTACTGCCGGGAAAAGGGGATTTTCATACCAGTACTTCATCTCTTTCATAATTTCTTTCATCTTCTCAAAGAGCTCTCGCAACTTTTGCATCTTTCATCTCTTTCATAATTTTGTAGGGTATTTTACAACCTAAATTTCAATAAAAT